TGAAATTTGAAAGTTCAACCGTTTGGTTTCCTATAGCGACCAAAATAAACAAATAAACAAACTTCCTCTTTTATATATATAGACATAGCCAAAACAATAAACTGAAAATTCTGAGGTATTTTTAGCAATGTTTATTACTCCTTAAAGTAAAAAATTTTGTTCCTTAGAGCATAAGCATTTGAGTACATTATTTCTAGGTGTTGTATGATTAGGGAAAACTTTTTCTTCTAGAACTTGAGAACAGTTTTATAATATTTTGAAAATATCCAGTGACAAACAAGTTTTTTTGCCCAATACCAGAGCTTGCTGGGATACGACAGACTAGTACAGTAATTGTGTTGTGTGAGGTGCTATTTGTATTATCAAATTGCATGAACAACTACTGCTATGATGTGAACTAGATAAAGTAGGTGATTTTTATCAGTTGTAAATTATGTGGTCAAACCTGAATAGTTGTTGTACAGGAAATCAGATGCCACTGTTGATAATTAGCCTGTGTGAAAACCATGTGAAGTCATGCTACAACAGCTCAGGATATATGTAGACATGGTGTCTAGAAAGAAAATACCATGTGAAAAACATCTAATAATTAGTTTTGACAGAGGAAGGGTGCAACTACTAATTGTACTGGTGTTTGATGACTAATTAATGCTATTATGGCATAAAATATGTATAGCAAAAGACCCTTTATTTTTCAGGAAATTATCAGTTCCCCTTTTAAACTTTTGTAAAGTACCAGCCTGAACGAAGATAACCTGTTCCATAAGCCAATCACCCTGTTAGAATAATAAAACTGCCTTAACTGAAGCATTACTGTAGGGCAAATGTTTAACCATGATGTATGTTTTGTACATGTAGGGTTTTGAGCTAATTGTGTATGTGACATTTTATAAGCTTGTAAATTGAAACAGTAGTACATTATACAATATATACAAATTGTCTCTTCAGCAGAGACCTTACAGCTACAGCTGAAAATATCATTAATGTATATTTTAGTTTCTCTAAATACTTAACTTGCTCTGATGTGATATTAATATTATTAATAACCTGGCTAAGAGTATAGACAAGAGTGTTTCAGAAAAGTGTAAACCAGATGGTTCAGTATGGCCTCAAAGAAAGCCTTATGTAGAGAGGAAAGCAAATTGAAAAGACAAAAGCATAAAGAACTTGGCATTGTTTGAGTGATATGGAGTGTTGTGCATAAATACAGTCAAAATTTGTGTGCTATAATAATCAAAGGCAGTTCAGTTAGCACTGAGTAACAATATCGGAAACAATACAGGATGAAATCACTTAGAACTGAATAGGGGTAACAATATCAGCAACAATGAAAGATAACATCATTTAACACTCAGTAGGGGTAACAATGCCTGATGATATTTAGATCTGAGTAGGTATAACAATATCGGAAACAATACAGGATGACATCATTTAGCACTGAGTAGGGGTAACAATATCGGAAACAGTGCAAGATGACAACAGTGAAATTGATGAGTTTCGGTACAAATGTGATGCTCATCTCTGACAATTATGTCAGAAGCCTACTGAAAATTGATGGTAACTTAATTGGGTTCTACTGTATTGATACAACGCTGCATGAATTATTAATGGTGCTACAGAATGTTTGGAATAGTACTCGTCAGTTGCTATTACAATAACTGTGTGGAAGTATTGTCAACAGAAGCCAAACATTATTGTATGGCAAGTGTTCTTACATTAAATGCTAATGCCATGATTTGATGTGACTGGTGTGTAAGCATTTCCAATATATTAATCATGCAGACTGCTGTAGATCATGAACAAACATTACTAATGCCAGTGTTTATGTATTTCCATATTTATTTTCAATATGTTTATCAATTTAATTTTTACTCCTGTCATTGGAAGATATATCTACTGTGAGTAAACAAAAACCAATTCTAGAATTCAATAGTGTTTATATCTGGCAATTAACTTGGCCATATGAAAGTGATAAAATTATGACTTTAGAGACATCATATTGTGACTCAGGCTGAAGGAGCATCAAAAATACTGATTTTTTTAGACAGATAGAGGGTCTTGCTTGAGAATTATGATGGATTGAGTAGCAGTGACCAGTTGTAATTTTCCACTTGTTCAAATGCATGCCTTTTTCATGAGAAAACCCATATATGTGTGTGGTGATTCACGTGTTTAAAGTGATACTTTATGACAGGAAAGTAGCAAGAAAACACTTACTAGTTAACTTCACAAGTAGTTACATAATATTAGCAGGGTTATAACTTAACAAACACCATAAATAGTAGCATGGTTATGACTTAATCAACAGTATAATATTAGCAGGGTTATGACTTAATCAACAGTATAATATTAGCAGGGTTATTATTTAATCAACAATATAATAATAACAGGGTTATAACTTAATCGACACTAAAAGAGAAGAAACTAAACAAAACTACAATGTCCTAAAGGTCCATTTTAAATTTGATTTTCTTTGCATTCTACAAGATCTACATCCGGACCACCATGATCACCACATCCCTCCATTTTTTATGCTTTTATATCAAATAACCTCTAATTTCCTGCAATCTGGAAAAATTTTCAATTTGATTTTATTAACTTTGGCTACAATCTTCTCTGTTAGTTTTACAAATGATTCCAAAGAATCAAAGACCTATCATTATGCTGCTCAACACTTTCCTTGTGAGTATTTAAAATTTCAATGTGAAATGTAACTGAATATGGCTTTTCACACACAACAATAGCATGTGTGCCTGTATGAACACACACTACTGCACAACTCATGTAAAGGAGGACTGTTAATGGCATCCCATGTCGTAACAGAAATACCATCGTATTTTATTATGGCAGGCAAACAACTCAACAAAAGTTCTTGGGAGAATAGTCATCAAATTCAGTTGAGACCATTGTCCAAGAATTGTGTAAATATGTATTCATCATAAATAATTACAGTGTCCCAAAAGGCATGAAGATGATATAGCAATTTTGATATCTGTACTGTTGATGCACATGTTGCCTGGATTGAGGAATGGCTTTTAAGTCATTGCTATGAAAAGAATTTTGGATAAGGTACGTTACCTCCTCTAACATATATAACTATTTTCGTTCAGTGCTGCCCTCTATATGGAAAAAGTGCTACAAGCCTTGCACTCCCACTTACCCACTATGTCTCACATGCAACTCATCATGCAACAACCCTCCACCAATAGGAGTGTGACACAACCTCCTGATGCATGTGGCTCCCTCTATTTGATTCTACCAACCT